TATTTTAGTTTTTTTTTTTTTTAATGTTTTTTTTTTATATATAACTATTGCCAGTAATATGTATAGATTAAAAAAAGACAATTTAGTTCACTAGACCAACATCAAAAACAAAACTGTTAGTACTACGAGTCAGCTGTACAATCGTATTGTCTTAAGTCTTAACGTACCCCAGTGAAATACAAAGGCCAGCATTGGCGTGGTCACAATTTGAGATCCATCAGGCGATCCCGATGAGACGCCTTACACTGTTAACGTCTAGTGCAGCGGTTCTCAACCGGTGGGTCGCGGCCCCTTTGGGGGTCGCACGACCCTTTCACAGGGGTCGCCTAAGACCATCCGAAAACAAATATACTCCTCAATTATAAAGTATTATTTTCGTTGGGGGGTCGCCACAACATGAGGAAATGTATTAAAGGGTCGCGGCATTATAAAGGTTGAGAACCACTGGTCTAAGTGCAATGAGAAATTTGTTTCTTTCAAAGTCAAATTCATTGCGCCGAGTTGTCACAGAACAGAAACAAGCAAATTGAACTTAATCACAAATATTTTTAAACAATACTCTTAGACGAGTAGTTTAGCCCTGGTTCATATTTATGCAAATATCAACTTCTCTACGGGCTACGTTCAAATTTTTGGAAAAACAGCGTAGCTTGCCCGTGGTTGCCGCCTACATTTACCACTTTGGGTTGCTTCCGAAACCATGTTTGTTTGTTTCTAACCTCGATTCCAGTAAGTTAAGTAGGGTTCATTAAAGGAGACCCAATGATAGAGGTTTTAAAGTAAAATGTATTCTTTTACTCTGAATATTTTTTTTCCTCTCAACTCACGGTGACGTCACCCGATCCATGTTTACTCGGCCAAACCATAACAACAACAAATGATATGAAAGCGGAAATGATATATTCACCAACCCAATTTACTCTTAATAGAAAGTTTTTTTTTTCGTTGGTGAATGTACATAATACACGTATGCTTCAATTAATCTATCCATTCAAAAGTCTATCTTGCACGTCTGCCGAGATACTAGTTCTGCGCCTTACTGTCCCTCTACCCCACTCATCCCCTCTACCCTCTCTACCCCACTCTTCCCCTCTACCCCTCTATACCTCTACCTCCCTCTACACCACACTGCCCCTCTACCCCGCTCTTCCCATGGACCCCTCTATACCCCTCTCTACTCCTCTAACCCCCTCTTCCCCTTTACCCCTCCCTCTACCCACAACCCCCACTACCCCCCTCCTCCCCTTTACCCCCCTCCCCACTACACACCTCACCTTGTGAACACATCCGGGTAGTGTGTCTTCTGGAAGGCCCTCTCCAGCTCCTCCAGCTGGTAGCTCGTGAACGTCGTCCTGTACCTCCTCTGCTTGCGCTTGCCCATCTCCTCCAGCTCTTTCTCTCTGTCCATCCCCTCGTCGTCCTCGCACGCGGTCTCCTCCCCGGCGTCGCCGTTGTTGCCGCTGTCTTTGGTGTCGCTGGTGCCGTACCCGTCCGGCACGTCGTAGTCCTCAAGTCTTTCTGCGTGGTGGCGATCAGACGTGATGACGTAATGGGCACTGACGTCATCGCCGGAGGGGGTCAGTTTCTCGTCCTCAGACGTTTCCCCCTCACTCATAGTCCTTTGAGAATTGCGCGCGAGCGCAATTCTTTGATATTCGTGACCCGTCTCCGCATTATCTCTAGGGCAGGCGTCACGGACAACAAGCGCCTCGGCGCCCACGCCACTGAAGCTGTTATTGTTTTTATCATCGAGGGCGCCGGCCTCCGTCTGGTGCTTCGCCTCGTTCTGATCCAGACTTTGGGGCACAGAGGAGAACTCCATACTGGCCCTGTCCCCGTAAACAGCACCGAATTTACACTCATCACTTTCCCCATTTGGGAAATTGGCTTCCCGGGAAAAACTGATTCTGCTAATATCCTTTCTGATTACCGGGGTGGCTGCCCTCGGGGCACTCGGGGCAGGTGGCGTCCCCACAACAAACACCACCGACTGCGACTGCGCCTCCGGCGACGAATTTCCGGTCTCCGATCTCAAGATGGCGTTCCTGGATTCGGGACAGTTAGCAGGGTACTGCCGGTATTTTGATGTCCACAAGCCTGAAAAGTGAAGGAAAAACAATTTAAAAAAAAAAAAAAAGGAAGTGCAACAATTAAGGAATGGAAGGATATAAAATTGAAATAGATTTCATGATGAATTATTTAGTGGCGTTTTCTTTGTTTTCAATTAGAGTTCGTTATCGTTCATTCTCATGAATAAAACAGACAGAAAAGCACGGAGAAGTATTGGCTGGGGGAAAAAATAGCCGTCGGCAGAATCAGAATTTAGGGGGTGGGGGGGGGGGGAGGGGGTAAAGAGAGGGGAAATAATTCATTAATGATTAAACCTCGCTCATTTCGTGAAATAAGGGAAATAACACTTGACGGCGACAATGGATTTTTTTTAATGAAAGTAATCAATTGATAAATT